ATGCGAAAGGCATATGTTGTCGGCGCGAATACTCACGTTCATTTGCGAAAACATGGTATACCAGTTACGGACACAAACAACATAGTCCTCTTAGATGAAGAAGGTAAGCTTTGACATACAATGATACCCTATAATTCTATAATGCTCTAGGTAATCCTCTCGGAAATCGAATCACGATACCGATTCCTGTGAAGTTGTTGGAAAAGAAAGATAAGCCACAGTTTGCTAAGGTTTTAGCTTTGGCCAACAAGTTTGTATAGTACTTAGATGTAGATTATTATACTGTCGTTGTTAGAGTAACATGTACTACATGAAGCCTTATCACTTTGGAAGTCTTTCTTTTGCAGAAACAAAGCAACAAGCATATCATCAACCGTAACAACTAAAACAAGTTTTGTTCACCGATAAGGTTGAACCTAGAGGCCAAATTTCAATTATCCAATGTTGCTATGTGGAAAGCGAGATCATGTACACATAGTGATACAGACATAGCGATTATCTACTGATGACTATTTGATAGATATTTGGCTTAACATATCAAATTTCCTAAATAAAACATAACAAAATCAACAAAGTAGTGATATCACACTGGAACAAATGCACGAAAACAAAAAAAAATTGATATTACCGCCTCAACGCGCCACGTGACAGCCGAGAAATTGGCTTTGGGCGGGTCGATGCTACCGGGTCAGATCTCTCGGGCGATTTCACTGCAGCTTTCTTAAAATACGACATTGTCAGTATAAGAGCGAACTGAATTTACCATCGTGCTTTACTAAAAACCTGAACCTTATGGCCCATTATCTTCCAATAAGAAAGGACAGAGGTTACAAAAGCAAATACGCAATTTGCAGACATCCTCCCTGCTCTCAAAATCGTACCACTTTGTATACTTAAACAAAGAAAAAATTTTCATGGACGTGATCATACGTAGTTGCTCGCTAAGTATGCAAGATATGTGCCAAATTCAGCCTACGCTATTCTCCAGCTTGACGTATGATTATTTCAGCTCTTTTTAATAGCCTTTACCTGAATGCGACACAAGTCAGTGCTATCTTATAAAACAGTACCACCAATTCCCTGTTCACCACTATTAGTTGCAGAAACTGTATTCACCTTGCTCGGAGGAGATAGAGGAGCTTCCGAAGATTTTCGCGTTCTTGTAGAGATACTCAGCTCAATGGAACTGGAGCCTTCCAGCACAGCCTAAAGGGGAAACGGTACTATCGATGTGCACGCACTTGAAAACTGAATTTACTTATTTTTTGAGGCTTGTTTTAGGTCAAAAGAACAGGCAAAGATAATTGTAGTTGCTCACAAAAGCAATCAAAACATGT